GTGGGTGAAAAGTTGCAAACGTCAAGGTCATTAACCCTTTCACCTCGAAGATCTCTGTAATAATTCTCCTTACTTTCTGCCATGCAGTTCGTATGATGTTAGCTCTGAGATCTTGGTATTAAATCATCTTATGATCTCCTAAATGATATTTTTCTTTATCCTTATCATTTGTCTCTTGATTTGTATTGATATTATAAGTAGAAATTATCTCTTGGTTACTCAAAGAAATTAAAGGGTTGTGAGCCAACTTTTATCCAGTTTAAGCAACTTTTAGTAATAGTTTGTAATTAATTTAGGCCAGAGATAATAACTGACATGACAATTTTAAGATTCTGCTTTCCTATGGAGATGAAAACATTGTTTTTCTTGGGAGCTTTGCAATTTTCATCTCTTTCTTTCTGATGTCGCAAGGTTAAGGATCTCTATTAAGGGGTGGACCTATTTTTTGTTCCAGTGATTTCGGTTGAAATACGTATCGAAAAAACATGGAATGAAGATCTTAGGGATGAAAGTAGTACATCTTACAAAGAATTAGCCTCTATAATTGAGGATGAGGTGAGAAATTAGATATTTGTTGATAATAATTGGCAACACGCTTCGTTTGTTTTCCCTCTTAATGTAATCAATCAGTGGGGCTGCCATAAGAGTTCTTCTGGACACATTGTATTTGGATCGGCTGTTATAGTTCGTCCTTCATGGTGAACTTTGATTTGACCAAACTATGAAATGATTTTAATGGTTTGATACTGTAAAAAAGGAAAAAAATCTCAAACATGTTACTTGAACTTACAGATACGTAAACAGTATTCTGGAGTCAAAAACTTTATTGGAGTACAAATCGTAGCGTTCAGGTAGGCGAATTCGACAGTAATGTATGAAATCCCAATCTTTTATTAATGTTTAGTGCAATCATTGCAACTATTCATATCGTTTATTCTACAGGCCTGGAAGTATTGTTGCTGAATTTAAGCTGCTGTTCAAGCAGAAATTCTCTGATGACACAGCATTAGCTCCTTTGAAAAAGGCTGTTGGAAATGGAAAACTTGGCCCTTTAGCAGTCGATCCCAAATACGTGAAAATCGTGAAAGAAGAGGAGGGTAATTTACAAACTTTCGGTAGCAGTGACAGTAGCAATAGAAGTAATAATAGTAGTAGCAGTAACGACGGCAGAATCAGGACCAGTAGCAGTGGCAACGGTATTGATATTAACTGCGGAAATAAAAGTAAAAGTTAAACAGTAGCAGTACCTGAAGCTTTGGTATTATCAATAGTAGCATGAAATAGTAACAATAGCAGTAACTGTAGTATTACCAACAATGCAGAGCAGTAGTACGTAGCAGTAACGATAGTAACAGTAGCTGTTGCAATAGTAGTACTAACAATAGCAGTAACAGTGCCAGCAGCTCTAGCAGTAGCAGCAGTTGTCGTAGTCGTAGGCGACAGTAACAGTGGCAAAGTTAGTTGATTTATGGACATTGCATATGGTACTTCTATACCTATCAAATCCGTCCATTACACTTCTCTTAGATCCAACGGAGGATGCAAAAGGAGAGCTTCCCTATCCACTCATCATTGGTGCTTCTTGTGGTGGGATTTTTGTCATCTTGCTTATCAGCATTTGTCTTGTCCGCCACTGCCAGCGTGAAAAGAGACTCGACCGCCGGCGCATTTCAGACGGGATGCCTTCTGAAGTTGCTTTCCCAAATCAGGAGAAATACGAGCTAAAAGACGCGCGTTCTAAGGAGGACATAGTCAGCTTCGAAGAGCTAGGTCTCTGGAAAGAAGCTGGTGATAACGAGAAGTTTCATGGAGGAGCTCGTTACCAAGAAGTAGGCATCGCCAATATGGCTACTGATGACCAGGATATCGGAAAATCAAGTGATTCAGGCTACCATCTGGAAACTGGAATGGCACGCGACCCCGCTCGCTACCAGCAGATTGGCATCTTTAAGAAAGCTGGAAAATAGTGAACTACACAAGAGGCTTATTTCAAAACTCGCTTTTGTACGTTCATTTTAAAACCGCCTTTAAAAGGCGGACAAGCCTTTTTTGTTCCTTTTTTTTAGCGTAGCGCTTGAAATGACACGAGAACTAGCTTTAATACGTATTTGCTACCATATTTGGAGTGCAGTATTATCTGATTTCTCAGTCAGTAAAGCTTTCCTCTTTATATATCGCTTTTTTTCAGTTTTGTAGTTGAACAGCAAAAAATAGTTGTGAGAGAAAAGGCCTGAAAAACGTAGTGAAATCCATTTTCCGATTTATAATACCCCTAATATACAAGCGTGCACTTTTGTCCTAAAAAACAAACGCAGGTATAAAAATAATTCCATTTTATCCTTTTATCACTGCCAAAATACACCAGTTCCTTTTCGACGGTTAGGGCAGAGCACCTTCACTTATCGCTTAGTAGGTGTTCATCATGCTGAAGATAGCTTTTTTTTCATTTTTTATGCTGGAGAAATGGGCTAGAAATTGAATAACTGCTTCGAGCATAGATAAGTCGGAGAGGCTGAGTTATATAACAAGGTCAGAGTTCCGTACTCTACAGCCAGTAATTATTAGGCAAACCATATCGAACGCTTTGCATCTGCTATTGTATAACTTTTTACAGTCATCAAACCTTCGCGTTTTGAAGACTGATATTTTGCTGAATAAAACGACACCTTCGATTAAAAAAACAAGTCCTCTATTTTTGATGATATCATTGCAGGAAGCGATAAGCCTTCTGCCTACTGAAAGTGAAACGCTGGTGATTGAATATCATTTCGATTAATGTGTAATAAAGTGTATGCAAGTTCGTTGCGCTCACTTGCCGGTAGACTCTGATCGATGTCAATAGGAAGAAGGCATTGCTTAAAGGTTACTCTAAAAAATATTGGGTGCTTTCCGATATAACTGTCTATCTCAAACTTCCCCTTTTAATCTTAGCTTAGAGAGAAAGTTTATCTTGACTTAAAAAAAACTGCTGTTGGGTTTCTAACTTATTGTCACTGGCAGTCTCGCGAGTTTTTTCAACGCTGCTGCGCTAATTTCAGTCCTTTCTTCTCTTATTCCGGACTTTTCAAGGCGCGATCGCATTCAAACTTTCACGCTTCAGTGCTCATCAGTAACTGATGATGTTCAGGTCTTCTGCGCAATGTTGCCTCCACATCTCAACCGAGCACAGGAGGTTATGATATCTTAGTGTGTTGGCAAGCAGAGCCACAGCCTGGTTTTATTGTCTTCCACTTGTATTGAAAGGTCATTTGAAAGGCACCCACTCAAATTACGAAGAATTATCTTTCAAGCAAAATTCAATCCATGTTTATCTCCCGAAATTAACATCAGTAGTATTTATGGGCTAGGTTTTGTACATTAACTGATCAATTCTGACATAAAATGGCGATTTCTATCTATTTTTTTTTTCTTTTTTCTTGTGAATGATTGTCTCCGCTAGATGTGTCGACAGAACAGATTGTGTGGATGGTGTCAACCAGTATACCTGTGTATGTTAAACAGGAACTGGGGAGTTCTGCGATCATGATGAGAAAGGCAATAACCCAGAAGAAGCTACATAGGTCTGTGCGGCCGTTAAAGAGTATGGTTTTGTCTGAGAATGGATATAGATTTATGTACGGAACCACAAGAGTTTAGAAAATAGTATTTGTCCCTTTAATTCTAAATAATTGGAATGAATAAAATGAATAATAGGGAAATACACGTCGAAGTAACCAAATTAGAATATCAAATTGTCACGTCTATTTTACAGTTACAATTTCTTGATTTCGGCACTGATACGATGCTTGATTTCGCAACAACAATGTATAACATGGATTTGCAAACCATGCAAAGCTTTACAAACCAGGTCTGAGAGCTCGCATTGGGTTTGAAGACTTAATGCGAGGGTTTTGGAGGTCAGACATGAAATCTATGTGGATAATAATCTAAGAAAAAATAATCATTAAGAAAATAATCTGGCGGCTGTAAATATTTAAACAAAGTTTAAACCTCGTTGTGCTTCAGATAGAGGAGGTTAAGGGCCTTTTGGCTTTCGTTTAAACTTCTTTGATATTTCGAAAAAAGCCCTCAGTTGTGGAATTAGCCTACAGATGTATTTCTGAGTTCAGAAACAATAGTTTAATGCATATTGTCGGAGAAATTGAAATTTATCTGAAATGAAAGAGTTTGCTCAATCATTCTTCTTAAATCTTTATTCCCCGAAACTGTTTTTTTTTTTCTGCTGAGCCACTCATTTGCAACTTTGATTTCAAAGCGTGACTAAGTATAACGTGTTCTCTTTTTTAAAATATGGTAAGAAAGACAATTTCCAACTTTTTGATATATCTTACAGTCAAGCCATACCTTTCATTTTATCATCATCGCTATACCTTATAATTATCTTCGCTAAAATACGTGTTTTCGTTTGGGACTCTCAGAGGTGACATCTACTGTCAAAAAGACGGAAACAACATAGCCTCCAACGGTGCCTCGAACAGATTTAGCAGCTACCAATATAAAACAAGTAGTTTTTTCGAGTTTTTGTCTGCCTTATCATGACATATAAAGGAAATGATCCGCCTTCTGTAGGCTGTGTTCAGGACTCACTCGGCTACACCTCGTGAGCTGCAACATTTCATTTTAACCACTGTAATAATGAATATCGTTGTTTTTTGTTTTTACCACAATATCGATGTCATCATTGTTTTGCGGCAACGGCAAATTGGCCAATCGGATTGCAACATTACTCCCAACTGTGGTAGGGTAAGCTTTATCTTACCAGGGTGGCCCAATGAGCCATAAGGCTGCTACCTAGACGGGCCTTGGTAGAATCCAACAAAATTTTACTGTTCACTCAAAACACACAAAATACATTACAATTCAAACTTACACCAAAGTCTTAAGTACCGTCTAAATTAGCACATCTAATTACAACTATTTAGAGTATTCAAGTATGTGCATAACACCTTCCACCGACACTTAGACAACTATACCACACCCTGTACTAAAAAATATAATAACTTCAAGATAATTAATCAGTAATTTGAAAATACGGGATTTAATAATAATTCAAGAGTACAAAATGTTATAAATTGTGACTGTATTCATAAAATATTTAAAGGGAAAAAGTGACTCTACCTTTTAAATGTGACGAGGTAACAAATGAAAAAGGGCTGAGCTTAAACAATTTAAAACTTCGTTTCCCAAGGCTTAACTTCGGTTTGAGCAGGTGCAAATCGGTTCTCCTGTGATTGTCATAGCTATGTACCTTGTAGTTTCTAGTAAAATAGTTACATAAATGCTGAGGTATTAGCTTATTTAAGCATTCATAGACTGAATTGCCTCGGGGATTCTTAAGAATTAAGGCTAGTTTTAAGAATGCCTCATCAAGAGCGGTCCGGTCGATTTTGCTTGAGGCACAGATTCCGCTCATTTCTTGCGTGTTGTAAGACATCTGTGTAACCACACTAAAATCACAATCTGTTTCATCGGATCTCTTTATTTTTCAGCGTTTTATGGAAATTAAATTTCACTCGAGCAAAGGCCTGTCGTGATACTTTTCAACACTTTAATTTGAGACAACTTTGGCGGAAAATTTACAAAAAACCACGGAACTCAGCAAAAACAACTACCACAGCCATGTTTATTAACTCTATCTTATCCATCGAGGCGACTTTCATGAACATCACGTTTCAATCAAGGAAACAGGAAGAATTGAATGACACCTTATCGGTTCGCTTAAGTCACGCACGCGAAGACCGATCAAATTCCAGGTAAATTTGTGAAAAAGTGAGGCGTTCTCAACTGATCCAACTAACATAGCTAGGCATTAGATGCCACAGAAAAGGTAACTATAGAAAAAGAACTTTGCGGCCCGACCTTTGTGAAAACTTTATAACTCCGCGAACTTACCTGATTTTCGGCAATCTCCAAGTTTGGCCGCCGTTTTGAGGGACGTGTTAACATGTAGCCTAGCAGATATAAACCGAGCAGGTAGATAAAAAACCTTCTGAAATACGTACGAAAGGAGTTTCAATAAACTTTTCTTTCAATTCAAGTAGTAAAATTTGCAATCGTTTGTTAAACTTACCATTCCTACATCCCCATGCGATCATTTCTTCCAACAATTCATACACTACAAACTAGTGTTCGAATTCCCCTCGTCGATTCCACCCTAAGAAATAACCTGTGTCACCCAAGCTTCGACTCGAGTGTGAAATGCGAATCACATAATACAACTGCTTCATCTTCGAGGCAATATCACGCTGGGTGTTTGATTTTCTGATCGACAAGAACGGTGATAAGGAAGCGATCGCCATGTTTACCTCATGAACGTGACCGATGACCAGCCGCTGAGTAAAAACAGTACGGCTCAGTGGCGTGGGACTGGGTGTGGGGTGGGTGCGGGCAGGTTATCAGAAGATTTTTGGAAACATTCGAATATCTTCATCGAAGTATCATGACATGCATTACGATTCTTAGTCTTTTTGCAAAGCATGCTTTGTGTTGCAGACAACTTTTGTTTTGTTCGGCATTCTTTTTTTCTTTCAAAAACATTTCGTTTCAAAAAGGACTGGTATCAGTACATGGATTTATAAACAAATCTTTACCATGTAAATAAATGTGTTTAGATAATCAACATAACCGTTCAACCTCTTGTATCGCATAAGTAGTAAAGCGTCTTGTCTTTGCCCAACTCCGACAGCATGGAGCGGCAAACACGCGACAAACGAGTCACGCGTCTCGCGGCTTCTCCATGTTCGTAGGATACGCGCGACCTCGCTATTTTAAAGAAAAGTAAGAGACTGCCCGCAGTCTGTATTCCGTTAACCATTTCATAGGAGTGACGCCAGTCTCTTCAATTAAGTGAAAAAGTCACAAACCCATTCTTTACCTCACGAGCGTAACCACTGACCCGTCGCGAATTGCTCCCTTGGCGAGGAAATTGAAATCGTATCGAGTATACAAAGTTAAACTAAGTTCCTTTAGATCTCCCGAACTTGCATCGCGTTGGAAAAAATTACAAGTACAGAAAGAAGTCTTGAAATATGCCAGATAAATTTTTGTCATGCTGTCTGAGAAGTTAAAGAATATCTGGACCTTTCCCACACGGAAATAAAAATGGTAGGTCACCGACTTAGTTTTTCGGATAATTTACAATAACTGAAAATCTGAGTATCTGTTTGTGGACCTTACGTCTTGCCATGGTAGCCGATGTGACATCACAAGTACTAAGGCAATAGTACCTTAGTACTTGTCAATACCTTAATAGTACTAAATACTGTTAAGGTATTGCTCAACGATATAGTTGCAAAGATGTTTGTAGCTTTCCCACAGGATTAAAGCTCTTTCTTGTAACTTTTGATCGTTTAACAAAAACTACGGCAACGGAAAACCCTTCTGAGCCTCCTTAAACACCGTTGTTGTCCAACCACACCTGTATTGTTTTTAATGGAAAACGCTTGCGTCCCATGCATTTGCCCAGTGGTTGTTTTTATGACATCCAGGCTACACCTCATAAACTTCGTGATCCGTCGTGGACCTCAGGTCAGTGGTTAGCGGCGGAGGTTTGCTCTGAATCTCAGCACGAAAACTTCAAAATGTTCAACGAAACCATGGAGAAAATATCCCAAGGTAAATGCCAGCCACTGAAGGTCCTGTTAACGAAACGTTGGGAA